ACTAGCTGCTTTTTCAGGGAATCACCATGTTTAAAATTCAAATAATGGCAGATTCACACACAGCTGTAAGAAGTAACAAGAGAAATCCTGCCTACCCTCTTACCCAGTTTCCTCAAATGGTAACATCCTGCAAAACTACAGACCGTCATCACAATCACGACACTGACACAGCCAAGATACAGAACACTCCCATCAACCCAAGGGCCCCTCCCCAATGTTGCCCTTTTATAGCCACACCTACTCCCCTCCTGCCCCCAGCAACCACCAACTCATTCTCCATTTCTATGATTTTAAGGCCTTCTTCTTAAGGTAAAATTTACCAAGCCAGGAACTACCTGGTGACTGAGGCACCCAAAGGGGCAAAACTTGCATTCGGTCAACAGGTGAAGAGGATTTTAGGTGTATTTTAAACAGCTGGGAGCCATGCTGCTGAAAATGGAAGAAGCACCAGGAAGTGAACAGCAGGGTATTACTTTAAAGATCAAACTGAAATCTCAGAATTTCAAGCTCAGGATCAATATGGCCTTGCAAGTGGATGAAGTTCAAAGTACAGATGATAATTCTCAGGAACCACGTGAAAAACATTAAAAGAAAAAAAAGGCCAAATGACAGGAAGTCTCCATGAAGACATTTTAATGGCGGCAGATAGCAACTGAATAGCCTTCTCATACCACATTGAGATGACTGACTTTACCCTGTCAGCATTTGCTTTGGTAAAGAAAAAGAAAACCGCCATTTAACCCAACCACTAATAAGTAGCCTGGACTCTAAAGGCTACCCAAAGTCCAAGTAAACAGTCACCTGTTACATCATCAGCAGGGGCACGGTCTTCAGAAACTGCACACACTTCCTCTTTCCTGTAACTATCCACACACTTGCAGAAAAAGAAATTCTTACCACTTTCTACTTTCCCAAAGATGCATTTTTCAGTAATGGCCAAGGTGCTTTACTACCTTTCACCAAAAGGAAGGTTTGTCCCTCTCACACTCTCTCCCGTCATTGCCTATGATGAGCACAAGTTGTTGCAAAGTGTTTCTGTAACTTTCGGTTTTTTCCCCACCACAATGTTTAGACTCTTTTATTTATAACAAAATTAATGGCACAGGTAAAGAAAAACTACGTTTACTTAAATCCATTAAAATTATTTTTGGTCAAAGAAACAGAGACAGTAAAAGATACCCCAAAGAACAATTATAAAACTTCCACTGGGCCAAACAACAAAGCATTCCTTCCTCCCCTCACTCCTCCACACCCTTTAAGACACCTTTATCACACTGTATCAGAATGCTAATCTTAATGAATATCAACAGGAAGGGAAATTCTGGAAAGAGCAGGTCAGTTTTATACCCCTAACAAGATGCTAAGTTAAAAATGATGAAGGATTTCAAACTGTAACTCATTAGCATCTCTTTTCAATAAGAGACTTCATCTGGTCAGCTGGACTTGACCTGCCTGGATACCTTAAACCAGTGGTTCTCACACTTTAGCCTGAATCAGAATCACCTGGAGAGTTTGTCCAAACAGATTGCTGGCTCCATCCCCAGAGTTTGATTCAGTAGGTCTGTGGAAGGATCTAACAATATTCGTTTCTACCAAGTTCCCAGGTGATGCTGATGCTGCTAGTCTGAGGACCACACACTTTGAAAACCACTGCTCTAAATCTAGAGACTCCCTCCCCATTTCTGCGGAAGTTTTCTCTAGAGATCCCAAAAGGGGCCTTAGCAGAAAATAACAAGTTTGGGAGACCTATCTTATGCTTAAACTGTTAAACTGCTCTTTGAAATACTTTATCTGAGGTAAAATAGTTACAGAGTTCAGAGTAATTCAGTGTTGAGCTGCAGTGTCCGCAGCTTAGACTTCCAGACCCCTTTTTTCCTATTTCACGGAAACAACAACCAGGTGTGCTCCATGCTGCATTATAGAGGGAAAATGCCTACTTAACTCTGGGATTGTGAGGGGCTGAGGCCCCACTGCACTTCGATTTAGAGGGGCTTCTCCCCATGAGGTGCAGGGGCTGCTTCACGGTGGTCTCTGGAAGAAGTCCAGTTACTCATTCCCACCATATTTTCACTTCACAATATAAAAAATGTAAGGAAAATCCTGATATGTTCCAATTCAACAGATATTGGCCTCACGGTTTTTGAGAACTGGTCTGTGCACGGCTCACCAGATTCCTGGCTAAAGGGGAGGATGGAATGATGCTTGTGGAGTCTCAGAATGCCCTGTTTTTAGCTGGTTTCCCACCTCCTCCCTATCAAGTAAATTATTAAGAGCAACAAGATCACCTCAGCGTTAACTTTTAAAAAATCCTTTCCATCTATGTCAGATAGTAACGGCAATGAAATGGACACGAAAGGGAAGATGATGGTTGGAGGACATAAACAAATTGAAAGCTCATCTCTAAACAAACAAAAAGACCATACAGAGAAACTAAAAGAAGTATTTTCATTTAACAGCAAAAATGTATTTAACCATGCTCACTACTAAATGTAGAGATGTTAATAATAAACATGGTCCTTGCCATCATGGAGCCTGATTTACTATCCTGCAAGGAAGACTAACAGTGGCAAATATAAGTGTGAAGAACATCAGGAAGAAATTCAAATTGCTACTATGGGAAACACAGACAGGCATGTGGGGGGGAGGGGGGGGGGAAGGGGGGCAGGGGGAGGAGGTATCAACAAAGGCTTCTCAGCAAAGTCGGCCTCCATTAAGCTTAGGCCTGAAGGATAAAGAAGAGTGAACTAGGCAAAGAGGGAGGAGAAACGAGGTACAGAGGAAGAGTGCACTGAGTGTCCCTATATGACTCAAGCACAAGAAGCATGGAAGGTGGGAAAAGAAGCTGGCGAGGTGGGTGAAGACCAGAACACAGAGCTGTGTGTAAGAGCAATGGGAAGCAGGAAGATTACATGGCCACAGCGCGCATCTTCAAAGAACACTCTCTGTAGTGTGCTGGTCCCCAGCTGCCGCAGCGTAAGATGAAATGGAGCAGAGTGGAGGAAGGGGTGGCGGGAGAAAATGTATCCATCAGTGTTTTCTCAATACTGAACCTTGGCTGTCTGACACACAGATCACTTAATTTATATGGACCTCAGTTTTACCATTTGTGAAGTGGGATTAGAATCTTCCCCGTGTACCTCTTAAAGTTACTATGGGGATCTAAAAACCAAGTACCTAAGCAATCCTGTTTGTACATATTACACACTAAAATTTACATCACAGTGGGTGTGACAAGCAGTAAAGAATGTCTAGATTAGAACAAGGAGAATTCTGCAAGATCGCTGGAAAAAAGCAAGTACAGTCCTAGCCATGAACAACTGTAACAAGATGTAACTTTTAAAAGGATACAATAAAACCCAAACAGTTACCTAGAAATAAATCTCAGAAAAGATGTGCAAGAACTTTATGGAAGAAACTTAAAATACCTAAATAGGGCTTCCCTGGTGGCGCAGTGGTTGAGAGTCCGCCTGCCGATGCAGGGGACACGGGTTCGTGCCCCGGTCTGGGAAGATCCCACATGCCGCGGAGCGGCTGGGCCCGTGAGCCATGGCTGCTGAGCCTGCGTGTCTGGAGCCTGTGCTCCGCAGCGGGAGAGGCCACAACAGTGAGAGGCCCGCGTACCGCAAAAAAAAAAAAAAAAAAAAAAACCTAAATAAATTTAGAAAAATACTGCGCTCAAGAAGAGAACTATATCAATCCTTCCCCAAAGGAAATCAATGAAATTCCAATAAAATCTCCAGAGGATTTTTCACAGGCCTTGACAAGGTAATCCTAAAGTGTGTAATATAGAAATCACACATCAATGATGTTGAATGAATATAGCAAATTGTAGAAGGATACTCCAATATCATTATATAATACCTTTAAATATACAAAATTGACAGTACATACTGTCAAGGATTCAAACACATACAGAACTGCTGTATAAAAGCACGCATGGGAATGATGAACTTCAAACTTAACCATCAAATTCAGGACAGTAGTTACTGAAGGCAACTGGGTGGTGGATACAAAGATGTTTATTATTATTATTCCCTAGTCCTTAAACTCTTCTTCAATATTCCGTAAGAAACCAGAATGCCTTTTATTTGAGAGCCATGTTATTACAGGATCTAGCTTAGTAGTTCCCAAACACCAATCCAACAGCTCCCATCAGCCCCACCTGGAGTACCTGTTAAAAACACAGATTACCAGGCTAGGCCAGGATCAGAATTTCCGGGGGGGAGCCACGTGAAGCTAATGCACAGCCTCATTTGGGAACCCTTGGTAACCAACAGCTATTAATAACTAATCCATCAACAAAATTTTTCCAATCTGACAATGAGATATCTAGGGTCTTGAGATTGCCTGATCACTTTCCAATTGATGCAACTGTCTAGAATGTGGACTCTAATTTGAGGGCAAAACCAAGTAAATTTTGAAGTGTATCCTTTACTGTGCTTCTCCTCCTGCCCACCGGCCAAGGTCATATATGTAAAAACTAAGAAATATCTTATAAAGTAATAGTATCAAATGATTCCACAGCAGAACATAATTCCTTCATATCCTCTACAGGGAATATGCCATAGTGAAATTCCACTGGAGATGATAAAAATTGCTATTTTTAAGGATAAAGTTGCCAAGTCACTGGCAACTGCCCTCAAGTAGGTAGACAGTAATGCCATGCTTCTTTCCTTTCCTGTCCCTCACAATAAAATCATAGCTAAATTTGTCTAGAGAAATGCACAGAGCCAAAGGGAAACATAAAGAATAAATTTAGAAAGAAAACAATTTATTACAAGTTAGAGGTATTAGTACCAGGATAACAGTTTTCACAGCCCCGCTCCTAAGAAATAAGATTAACTAGAGACTATGCTGTTAGAACGTATGACATATTCAAGGGCGGACAAATGTAACTTTTCCCCTAATATTTGAAAATTACAACTAAAAACATGGAAAGGAATGATTTTGAGAAACAATACAAATCTGCTAAACGCATCAACATAAAAGGGCTCACTTACCAGGGCTTTCTACTCGCTTATAGTGGTAGGGATTGATGCACACCTCCTTCTGCTTGGAACCAAAAGGAAACTCACAGCATTCCAGTGGTTTTAGTTCATGGTGGCTCTGAAGATCAGGCCAGCGCCACACACGGCAGTAAATGACGTGAGGCAGCCCCTTCCGGTGGGAAACTTGCAGCCTGCCGTCCAGGGAGCGGGGAATGGTGACACAGTTACTAGGCTGCCCTGGACAGCTCAAGGCCTTTTCCAGTTCCTCCATGGCACCTTTCTTTTTCTTCAGTTTTTTCACCAAAGCGTCAACAGCTTTCTCTGCCCATTTTTCTTCTTCATCACCCTGTTTCCACCCAAGCAGTCTCTTCACAGCTGGACTTGTGAAGGAAAACAAACTTGTCACGTTCATGATGGCACCACGTACACTCCTTGTGGATGGAGAAAGAAAGACGTCCCCAAATGTGAAAGGAGAGCAGAAGAGGTTTCACTTTATTTACATAGGATTCTCCTTAGCTTCTTCGTGCTGAGGTCCTGAAAAGTAGAAATCACCATTCCTAGTGTTTTCAAAAGTAACCCAAAGTCAGCACCTAGAAAAGAAAAAAGGGAAAAAGATGTTTAAAATCATCTCTAGCACAAAATCACAATTTATTAAACAATTACCACGGGCCAGATACTATTTTAAGCACTTTTATGTATTACAGTATGCTATGGGCTGAATTATGTCCCCCCCTAAAACTCACGTTGAAGCCCTCACACCCAGTGTGACTGTATTTGGAGATGGGGCCTCTAAGGAATTAACATTAAATGAGGTCATGAGGATGGGGCCCTGATCTAATTGGATTGGTGGCCTTATAAGAAGAAGGGAGAGATTTCTCTCTCCCTCCCTACATGTGCACCCACTGAGGAAAGGCCTTCTTCATAGAGGCAGCTGTCTGCAAGCCTGGAAGACAGCCCTCACCAGAAACCAAACTGGCTGGAGCCTTCATCTTGGACTTCCTAGCCTCCAGGACTGTGAGAAATACATTTCTACTGTTTAAGCCACTCGGTCAGTGGTATTTTGTTATGGCAGCCCAAGCAGACTAACACAGTATTTAATCCTTTAAATAATTCTTTCAACTAGGTAGTACCATCATTGCCATTTTACAGATGAATAAACTGAGATACAGCTTTAAAAAGGAGTATGTTACTGTTTACATGAGTTCTGAGATAGAAGCAACAGACCCCTTAGTGCAAAAAAAGTTCAAGTTCTCAACAGATATTGTGATGTTTTATATTTAGATTCATTTATAGGCTCTAAGATACATATTTCAAAATACACCTCAATCAACAAAAACTGAAAGCAAAAGGAAAAAATAAAAATGCAATAGTCTTAACATCTATTTTGGGCTGTTCCTCAAGTATGTCTTACGCTATAAAAAAGGTAGTTATATTTACACTATGTAAATGTAGCAACATTTTAGGGTATTTATTCAGTAAACCAGTAAACAAGCCTATGCCTATGGGCTATCAGGCAAGTCAGGTAGGAAATTTACCCCCTACTTTTTCAAATTTGCTTTTTATTTACATGAAAGGAATGAAGCACGTGAACACATACTGTACCAAATACTTTTGTCAAGTTGTCTCATTTAAACTTTCTAGTTACTCTTCACCAGATAAAAACACAAACGGTGAAAAAGATTAAAGATGATAACTTTGTACCAAGTCCGGCTAAGATTCAGTAGCAGGTATCAAACCAACCTCCTCCCCAAAGTAACTATAAAAGCTGAATAAAATACAAATGAACAAATCAGGGGGAAAACCCCCCAACTTTTTAAATGTATCAAAGAGCAACCAAAGTACGCAGGACATGAGGGGCCAAGATGCTGGAGAGATGTGAAAAGCAATGAAATAATAAGCTGAACACTCTTCATTGCTTTTCTTCTCAAGGCGTTTAGTTGCCAATGCCTGTGCTGTGAGTAGCCAAGCAGAAAGAGGCTAAAGAACCAAACAGAGATTTCAGTAGTCTCACAGTGCTGAGGAGACGAAAAAAAAAGAAAAAAGAAAAATGGAGTTGAGGGCCTGGTAAACATACCAGACTTTCAGTTGAGACCCCTGAAGAGGTATGCCCTAGTGTGCAAGGGTAAAACTGAAATGGACCAGTGTTTACAAACACTGAAACACAGCCTAGAATCATCTTAATAGAATCATCTTCATACTAGACTGGAACAAGATGATGGGAAAAGAGGAGAGAAAAACTGTGAGAGAGGAAATATTTGTAGATACTGGCCAAAGATTTTCCAAAAGTGACAACAGATGTCTAGCCACAGATTCATGAAGGCCTACAAATCCAAAGAAGGAGAGACGGAAAGGTATCCACAAGTTTTAATGTGTCATATCACAGTATAATTGCTGAAACCCTACCACAAAAGTCTTTAAAAAGACACAATACTTTCAAAATGAGTACAATAAGGCTGACAGCTGACATTTCAACAGAAACAATGGAAACCAGATGACAGTGAAATGACATCTTTAGCCTACAAATAAAAAGCTGGAAACTCAGAATTCTATACTTAGTGGAGAAAAATCATTCAAAATGACTGTGAAATAACTATGCTCTCCAACAAACAAAATCTGAGAGAACTGGCTTCCAGCAGGAATTTTCAGGCACAAGGGAAAAGCAAGGAACTGCAGGAAAGAACGAAGAGCTCCAAAAGGGTACTGACTTTACAGAACAATTATAGGAATGTCTTGTGGTGTTTAGAATACAGAATTAAAACGCATAACAAATAAAGCAGAAGGGGTAAATGAAGTCAGATTTCTAAGGTCCTTGCCTACCCAGGTTGTGGTAAAGCATTAAAGTATTGTTGATATGTTATGAATTCATGTCATAATAAACAAACAACTGAAAGAATTTAAAAACCACAAAAAGGTAATAGAGGAGTTAAAAATATGGAATTATTTTTTAAAATATGTTTAATCCAAAAAAACTTAAGAAAAAGGAAAAAAGAGCACATAATAGATGGGAAAAATAGAAAACAGTAAGATTCACAGCTAATCCTCAAAGTCTCAAGAATTACTTAAATATCAAGAGACTAAATTTGCCAAGCAAAAGACTGGGGTAGGGGTGGAGACACCACTTAACTATACTGTACTTACAAGAGACACATATCGTCGAATATAAAGACAGAGAATGGCCAAAAGAAAAAAAATATGGAAAGAAATATACTATTCATATTCTAACCAAAAAAGCTCACACAGCTATCGTATCAGGCAAAAGAAGCCGTAAAGTAAGAAGCATCACCAAGGATAAAAGAGGGACATTTCATAACGTTAAGAGTTGATCCACCACAAATACATCACAATCCCAATTTTTTATCCAAGTAATCAGTTTTAAAACACATAAAGCAGAAACTGACAGAATTAAAATGATTAACAATCTTAGTGGGAGATTAACACAGTAAATGACTAAACAGGTAAACAGAAATCAACAGATATAGAAGATTAACAACATGTTTAAAAACTTGACTCAATTCGTGTATGCACCCAACAACTATAACATACGTACTACTTTCAAAAACACATGGAATGCTTATCCAAACTGACCATATGAGCCATTAAGCAAATCTCAACACATATCAAAGGAATAAAACCATACAGAATATGTCCTTTGATCACAGTATAACTAAGAATAAATGCCAAAAGTATTGTTATTGAAAATAATTACACTTTTAAATAATGCATGGGTCAAAAAAGAAACTACAGGAGAAATTAGAAAATATTTTAAACTGAATGATTATAAAAATATGACACATCAAAACTTGTAAGATGTAGCTCAATCCATGCTTAGCAGGAAATGGGTTGTCTTAAATGCATATATTAGAAAAGAAAAAAAGCTGAAAACTAATTTTCTATGTATCAAAAGAAAAAAAAAGGAAAGCAAATTAAACCTAAAGACAGTAAAAAGAAATGAGAGCAAAAATTAAATATATATATACAAGAGAGAAAACCTATAAAATCAAAGTTAGCTCTTTGAAAATACGAATAAAATCAAGATATTCCTCTAAAAAAACCTATAAATCAATAAAAGAGAAGGCACAAATTACCAATAACAGGAATAAAAGGGGGAAATCATTACTGATCCTCAGAACTCAAAGGGATAATAATTATGAACAGCTATCATAGCAAACTGTGCATGTCTATAGCTACTTTGTGGTATAGACATACAGCTGTGCATGTCTATAGCTACTTCTTCACTAGAGGAAAATGACTCAGGAATTCTATCTTACTGTCTTCCTAGCTTTGGAACCTAGCCCTGTAGCTGGCACATATCAGAGTCTCAATAAATGTTTGATGAATGATTTAGCTCCTTGAAGGAATCAGAAGGCCAAGTGTGGAGCTTTACTTATTCAACAGGCTGTAGCGGGTCCGTTGTTTCCTTTTGTAAGGTAAAGAGTTTTACCAGTGCTTTGAAGCTGGCGTTATTTTCGTTGAACAGAAAAAGAGAAAATAAAACTATGCTACCATCAAAAGTCACACTTGGTCAGAGTGTACCTCCTGAAATGATCATTTACTTTTACCTAAAGGTTAATTGTGCCAAAGAACAAGAAAGACAACTTCTTTTCCTTGTCCTCTAGCAACAATTTATAAAAGGAATACATTTCTTCTTATTCTGTATGTCCTTTTCTTCAACTCCAAAAACTGCTTTTTTATATTTTGGTCAATGGTTTTCAAATAGAGGGGGCGAGTTTATATCAAAATCACCTGGGGCTGTTTCAAACTCTAGCACTGATGGGTTTGTTATAGAAGGTAAGTATGTGGGGAGTTGGGGAGATTAAGGACCACCATTGCAGACCTTTGCTTTAACTGCTCAAAGTGACATTCATTCAGCAAAGCTGCACTGAGTGCCTGCTAAGTACCTACGGTATCCACAGAGGATGGAAGCAAAGATGTCTCCATCCTGAAGAGCCAGTGTGTAAACAGTGAACTCTCTTGAAGCAAACTGGTTCCCCTGCATGCCAAGCTAAAGGACTGTACTGCGGAGTCTTGGGTCAAGTGCAGACCTCAGCAGGAAGGAATGCCAGGACTGTAGCAAGGTGAACCCTGAGTGCAGGAATAGAAGAGGCGGCCCATGTACCATGCATTTGCCCACCCTGAACCAACAATAACACTGTGTGCAAAAGCTATACGACAGGTATAAACGATAACGAATAAAAGCAGAAAAGGAGAGAACAGTTAATTCCAGGGATCTCAGGAAGTTTTCCCAAAGAAGAACTATCAGACAAGCATTAAAGGATGAGCAGAATTTTGCAAAACAACAGAGCTAATATTCTGAGTGATCGCTACTTGACAGACACTGTTCCAAGCACTTTATATCTACTAACTAGTTTAATCTTTGTGACAAACCCTCTTTAGTGAACACTCTTATTTTCCTCATTTTACAGGTAAGGAAAGTGAAATATACAATAGAAAAGTTAAATAACTTGTCCGAGGTTTCATGCGCACAGTTGTAAGTGGTGGGGCCAGAGTGAACCTATGTTGTCTGGCTCTAGAGCCTCAACTTTTAAACCACTTTTGTAAATTACTCATTCTCACCAACATCAGAGAAATGCTAGGGTTCACGGTTGCTGTAGACGATACAAGGCTGATAAAGGCAGGGCAAGACTGTGAAGGGCCTGTCACACATCTTATCCTGTGGACAAATGGAAGGCTTTAAATCAGGGCATCAGTGTGATTAGATTTATGTTTTAGAAAGACAGCTAAGGTGATATCCTCAATACAAAAGGCTTCTCCGCACAGGGAACAAAAAATGAAAAAAAAACCCTATGTTCTCCAAACACCACAGGGCCAGTTGGGGGGTCTGATGCCACTAAAAACTTTCAAGTGACAAGATCACAAACTCTTGCATATAAATGTGCATATGAAACAAAATACAGGCTGATGACTGATTTTTGCCTACTTGAGTTAAGCATTTTTTTATATTCAAGTCAAACAAGTAACCTACCTCCCATCAGGAACTCAAACGTGTCCATGACACTATGGCCTTGGCAAGGCAACTCATTCTTTTTCTGCCCCTTTTGGTACTTCCTGCTTTAGTTTATGTCAAAAGCTAAGTGGCGTTATCAGTTTAAAGTGCAAAATAAAAACATGAGTCAGCAAACAGAGATTTCCTTCCCTCTTCTCCAAATACAAACATTTCAAAATGACAGAGAAGCAAAAGCATTCATCTGGTAAAGAACCCCTTAGAAGCCTTAAAAAATAGGGAGATCTTTGTTCCGGCAACTTCACTTCTAGAAATTTACTCTAAGGAAACACTCTGCACTGGAAAGGTAAAAAAGTTTTTGCATAATGATTTTCATTAGAGCATTCTTTATTATAAGGAAAAAAAGAAGTATCTAAAAGTTGGAAAATAAGTAAGATGTAGTATAATCCACTCAACGGGATATTACGTAACCCTTAAAAAATTATGTTCATAAAAATAACTGGGAAAACACCTTAAGCAGAATGTAAAATGGTATATACAGCATGAACAACTATGTAAATATACCAAAATAACGGTATACATAACATGAACAACTATGTAAATATACCAAAGCATGTAACGGTGGCTGGGTCTGGAAGGGTAATAATCTCTCTCTCTCTCCCCTACTTGTTAAAACTTTTCAAACATTCTTGAATAAAAAACTGTTACTTTGAAAATTTTTAAAAGCCTCTATACACAAATATTTGCAAATTACACACAAAAAAACAAAACCTCAATTCATTAACTCAAGACACATACAAAGTCTACTTATAAATCAGGTTGCATTTACAGTGTGACCCGATTTGGGAAATAATAAAAATGCAGTTTAGGGCTTCCCTGGTGGCGCAGTGGTTGAGAGTCCGCCTGCCGATGCAGGGGACACGGGTTCGTGCCCCGTTCCGGGAAGATCCCACATGCCGCGGAGCGGCTGGGCCCGTGAGCCATGGCCGCTGAGCCTGCGCATCCGGAGCCTGTGCTCCGCAGCGGAAGAGGCCACAACAGTGAGATGCCCGCGTACCAAAAAAAAAAAAAAAAAATGCAGTTTAAAACAGGGTTCTAAAGTCAGGCCCTTTCCCTATGGAGTCTCGCCCACGGGAAGGATTTCTATTAGCAATGCCAGAATCAAATGAGAAGAATACTTATAATGCTCCTTTCAACCTGGCTCTTGAATTCTGCAGCTTATGTGGTATTCCTTAATGTTAAAAGGAAAAAAGGAAGAAGCTGTAAAATACCTTTAACTGCTGTGAGACTCGCTCTATACTGAAAGAAAACCTCATTAGCCAATTGCACAACAACGGCATTTTCTTCATCTTCATCTAGCAAAGAAACATGTAATTATCCAACTGTGTGAATATCAACAAAATACACTCTCTGCCATGCCTCAGATCCCAGATTCCCACTGAAAGTTTTAAAAGGAAATTATTCTAATTTGTATCTGAAGCACAATAAAAAGGCGGGAGGGGGGAGTTGCCAAGTGCTACAAACCAAGTACCTTTAACAGAAGGAGGAGGAGAGGAGACAGACAATGGCCAGTCGCCCTCTACAGCTTCAGACCAGTGCTGTTACAGTTCCTGCACTGGCACGCAATTCAGTGAACTAGACAAAACGACTGAGGGAATAATGAAATGATTCAATAAAATCAGCATGAAATACAGGCTCCAAAAAAGTGACTGGGGGGAAAAACATCAAAGACTCCCTGCTAGTACCTTAAAAAAAAAAGGAGATAAATGGTCTACCGTCAATGAAGCAAGCAACTCTCCCCCACCCCCGACTTCTTGTTCTTTGGTTCATTACTGTCTTAACTCTAATGGTAAAACATCAAGGCATAAAGATCAAAAGAATCAAGGAACTAAACGCAGGGGTATTGATTAACTTCGCTTTGGAACTGTGTAACTGTTGGATGTGTTACTTAAGAAAAACGAAACTTTACAAAAATTATCTTTCTGTAAAAAAAATGCCTGATCCATTTTGCGGGGGAAACAAGTATTTCCAAGTGACTAAATAAACTGTAGGCATATTTCCTGACTTATACCACTAGCTCTTCTTAAACAGATGATCTTGTGAAGAAACAGAAAAAGTAAGACTAGCTCCTAAAGAAGCTACTGTGCGGCTTTAGAGAAATCACAAGCAAACTATGATTTCTGTAGTTCGGTAGTTGTATCTAAATTATTTCACCAAATACCTCACCAGAATGCCATGGAGGTGTAAAGTACATCAGAGGTGTGTTGTATAAAGTGACTGGCGGCAATATTAATTAGTTCTGTGGAAAGGTATGTGTCATCTAGCCTAACATCCGATTTCAGATAGGATTCAAGGCCTGATAAGAACTCTTGCCTCCCCCAAGATGCTTAGCTAAATTAAAACATCAAAAAGAGTCAGAAAGTTAACATACCAGGGGAAACAGGGGAAAAAACGAGTTAAAATTTGCTACACAAGTATAATGCCATCACAATGAAAATAAAAACGGAGATGGGTTTTCTCCAGCTATTTCAGTCTCAGAAAATATCCCAAAGCAACGATGGTCTGTGATTCTGTGACGTCGTTTCAACAAATAACCTGTTCAAATGTTTCTATTCCCCGGTTACTGCAATTAGGAACTCATCTGGCTTTGGGATACTTGTCTTGAAGGAGAAAACAAGTGAAGTCCCTCTGCATTTCCTTTTCCTGTTTTAAACTAGCAGTTAGTCCTGGACCTTCACTCAACATTTCTCAATTTCAAACGGGTCAAATGTAGCTAAATAAAGCTCACCACTAACCAAAATAAAGGGGGAAAAAAAATCCTAGAACAAGAAGAAAGTGAGGATGAATAAAACCTCTCTCCATTTCTTTTACAGACTTGAAAGCGCTTTTTAAACTACCTACTTCTTTGCTGAGAAGTTGGGCTAACAGGAACTCTACTCTGATTGAATCCTCAGAAAAAGAAAATATATTTAAACCAAGTCCCTACACAAGAAAGCGATACGAAGATCCACTGGCGGGTAGGGACAGATTGGGAGTCTGGGATTGACGTACAGACTGCAGTGTTTAAAATGGATAACCTACAAGGACCTAACTGTATTGCAGAGGGAACTGTGCTCAATATTCTGTAATAATCTAAATGGGAAAGGAATTTGAAAAAGAATAAAAAAATTAGAAAACATTTTTTAAATAATACTTTTTACAAAAAAAAAAAAGATCCACTGGCAATCGCAGAATTCTGCTGGTCTTACAGCAAAGTCCTGCCGTCACAAACATTCAGAAGGCAGACTTCACTGTCCTGAGCCTCTTACTATAAAGCCTTGTTTCGGTTACTTCCAAACATTTCCCAACTTTCCAAATGTCAGTTTGATGACACGGAATAGCTAGTTTGCCTCTTTTTCATTAAAAAATTGTTTTCAAGGTTAATTTTCCAAGTCTGGAGAAACTAGGGGGTGAAGGTGGAAGAGTGGACCAGCTCTTGAAAGCTATTTTTCATAATGAAGTCACGCAGGTACCGGTGCCTTTAAAACACAGGCACTAACAGCCAGTCTACCAGTCTCTCAGGTGTGACCTGAGGGACATGCTGGCAAGGGCTGCCGTGATGTGGTCTCTCAACAGTGTTAAGTGAGTAGGAATCTTAGGAATCAAAAAGAAGAGCTCACCACCTACCAGTTGGAAGTTCATCGTGAGCGGTGACATTTCGACCAAAAGCAGCATCCCCTTCATGACAATGAAGCAAGGAGTTTAGGGATGTCGCACTTAGATGCGTCTCTAAGGACAGGGCCGTAGTTTATGCATTCAGTTGCACCAAGTATGCTATTTAATATATGTTCGTTGTGTTAGAAAATTCTTCAAGACAAGAACTCTTTCTGGTTCTGCTCTGCATACACAAGTCCTTCCATCCTGACAAATTCTGGCTGCTGACAGGGCACCTGGTCAATTTTTCTTAGTCACAGAGCTTCCCTTATAGAGTAACAAGTGTCAGTTCTGTTTTGTTTCACGAGACGATTACTTGTTTAGTTAAAGTAGACTGGAGACACTTAAAAGTTTTCTTGCTGTCCTCAACTTCAACAAACAAGCTTGCCTTCTTGCTACATCTCCTTACCACTTCTCTAGAAGTTGTATAACATTCCTTAATCCCCCTGAATCCCTGTTCTCGAATTCATGCTTGTAATGGAAAGCTGTCCTTCAGCACGTGGTAGCCTTTCAAGATATCCAGGTCCTAAAGGCCTCACTCTGATAAATCTCATCTGCAGTCACCTCAACTCAAAAATTGTATAGACTCATTTGGCTTGCAAGTGCTTACTCCTCAAACACTGGGAACTGCAGAGCAGGGACATGTGCAAGTCCAACTGTACAGACTATAAGTGGAAAAAGTATACAGTCGTCTCTTAGAAAAAACTCTTCGCTTTGAGTCATTGTTATCGTAGTATAGCAATTTTACTGATTGCAAAGCATGCTAAATGCGGTAAATTCCCGTAAGCGACCAGTGAGGAATGATTCAATCGTTAACAAATGAAATTATTTTAATTGAGCTATTACCTTATGCAAGGATTATATTGGTCGTTTTTACAAACACGATCGTATTGACTTCTTATAGCAATCTTTCAAGATGTATAGCATTCTCTCAGTTTTAGTAATAAACCTAAGGATCAGAGGTTAAGTACCTGTTTCAAGATCATATTCTAGTAAGTGGTAGATTTACACTTGAAACCAGAACAGATACTAAAGTCTATGAATCAGGTTAAGAAAAAAAAAAAAAAATCAGTAATTCAAATGCCAAATTCACAAATGAAAATGGAATAGGCCGAAGGGCGGAAAAAAACTGTCCCTTTTATTTAAAAAAGAAAAATACTCTGCTGTATTTCATTTTTTGGAACATTTCTCCTTCTCCACTGAGCTGGCAGGTGTTATTTATGACAACAAACACGCACATCTGTAGGGGTGAGCTGACACCCACAAGGCAGGACAGCCTGAACCCTCTCCCTATATTTAGATCCTCCAGCTCCGGGCTTAATTGAATAATTTAGTCAGGACCCTCTAGAAGGGAAACACATCCATATTCATCACAGGCATCAAAGGAAACATCTTTACAAGTTATATCCTTTTACAAACCAACATATGGTCTCACGCCATTCTCCCAATTGTTGAACTCCTCCTCTGGGAAGAGCATGGAATTTTCTTTCTTTTTATCACTTGAAAAAATCACTTCCCTCCTAATTCAGTAAAACTGGGTGGAGGCCACTTCCTCCACAGGTGAGAGAAATAAAACTTGTTGCTCTGTCATTGTCAGGAATTTTAAAGTGAACTATTTATTTTATGTGCTTTCCAAATGGAAACAAAAGGCAGGCGAAATCTAGAGTAAGCAATCAGGGCAGTCTCCAGGCTTTCAAATAAGACCCCCACCATGTTTCTGTCATTTTGAGATGCTTCTAAATGAGAGAGCAGGAGTCCTTCACTTGGAATGAAAGAAGATAGGTCTGAAGAGCAGCTTTCCACTTAGCAGCTGCTCTCTGAACAAAACACCTCTCTGAGCCTCAATTTGCTCTTCCATGAAATTTTGATTCCACCACCTACCCCCCGCTGGGCTGGCATCAGCCTTAAATAGGGATACGTAAAGTTGATTTGAAAATTATAACATGCTGAAAAATGTAACATATTTACAGAGCTGGTTCACAATAAGCTAATTCTAATATTTTGTTTATACAAAAAAAACAAAGTTTGTGTCCTAGCTTTTGTCTGTCCAGTGAAGTTCTAACTTTGTCCAAAAAAGGAAAGAAAACGATAAAAAGAAAGGCTGATAACCACTACAGTCATTCGACTCATTCGACAAACACCCACAACATGCCAGTCACTATTCTAAGCACTGGGACACAGGGCTGAACAAGAGACAGAAACAGCTTTTTCTCTTTTTAAAAACGATCATGCCTTCATGGGACCTACATTCTTGTGGTCAGGGAAGGCCTCACTGAGAAGGTGATATTCCAACAGAAGCCTGAAAAGGTGAGGGACGGAGCCACGTGGATATCTAGGGAAGCACGTCGCAAGCAGAGGGGGAGCAACGGCAGAGGCCAAGAGGCAAGAATATGCCTGAAATGTTCCAGGGGCAGCAAGGAGTCCAATGTGACTGGGATGGAGAGAGCGAGGGGAGGGGAGGTCGAAGCAGACAGACAGGAACGCCGCAAGGATTCTGTAACTTCCCCTCTGAACTGAGACGAGAACCGCTGCGAGCTGGGAGCAGAGATGCCAACGTGATCTGACTTCTAGCTTAACAGGCTGACTGTGGTATGGCTGGATGGCTGGGCTGAGAACTGTCTGAAGGCATGGAAGGAGGAGGAGTGATAGGAGTGGGAAGGAGGAAAGAGACCAGCTACAAAGCTATGGCAAAAAAAAAAAAAAAAAAAAGCTATGGCAATTGTTACAGCTCAAGATGATAAAGGTTTAGGGGCTTCCCTGGTGGCGCAGTGGTTGAGAGTCCGCCTGCCGAGGCAGGGGACGCGGGTTCGTGCCCCGGTCCAGGAAGCTCCCACATGCCGCGGAGCGGCTGGGCCCGTGAGCCATGGCCGCTGAGCCTGCGCATCCAGAGCCTGTGCTCCACAACAGGAGAGGCCACAGCAGTGAGAGGCCCGCGTACCGCAAAAAAAAAAAAAAAAGATGATAAAGGTTTGGATCAGCCCAGTAGAAGTGGTCAGATCCCAGCTACTGCGTATTCTGAAGGTAAGCTATGAACAAATAACACTTTATTAGTTAAGTAAATGAGGAAAATAATTAAACATAAAGTTGGTGAAATCTGTTTAAATTTTAGAAGTGCAAAATCCCGTATTATGGGTCTATGAGCCTGAGTACCTGAGCTGGGGTCAAAGGTCACTGGAGAAGTAGACGGAGAATGATCATAGGAGCAGCAGGAAGGGAATAAAGACACTGAAATCCTGTAGGAATTAGGGTGGAGGGTGGGCAGTGAGGCAGTGAGTGAGTAACAAGGAGGGGAAGTGTGGTATAACCTGACAGGATGGTCAAAGGTGGGTGTTTTCATGGAGGATGGTGGGAGAATGGTCTGGAGGAGACAATTAGGAGGCCCCTACCTCCAGCAGGCCCGGTGGTATGAGGGTGATGAGAGAAAACGGCCGCAGAAACAGCTACAAGGGAAGCAGTATCCTCAGATGCGTTTGATCTGTGTTCAAGATCATCCATGTTCCACATAACCCAGGTATCTAACGATAATGGAACGATTAAATAAATTATAGTACATCCGACAATGATGTAACTGTCCGAAAAAAGGTGGGGGGGAGGACAGCCTTTCATGTCTAACATGGAAAGAAAACCGTACTGTAATTGTTCAGTTAAAAAAAGCTAGAGAACCATACACATAGTACAATCCCATTTTAAAAACACAAATAGAAATGAAACCTGCACATGTACAATATATGCACACCTTTAAAAGCCTGGAAGGAAATAAACAAATCTGAACAAGTGGTTGCCTTTAGGAGTGAGCTGGCAGGAGGGGAGTTCAGGAAAGCAGACCATTTGTATTTACAACCAATTACGGTTTTCAATTTTAAGACTCTAACAATAAAAACAAATAAAAACTGAAAGTAGGTAAGAGGTTTATTCTACACGGCTCCAGGAGACAGTATTATGACCAACAGGTGACAAGATTTATCGTTTTACGAAGGAAAAAATAATAGAAAGTGTCTCTGCCCAGAATGGAATTATCACTGAACTAGGATTTTCAGAGAAATGTATTCCAATGTATGGGGTTGGGACATATGACCTAATTCTGGGTGAATATGATATGGGTGGGAATGTACTTTTTTATTATACAATTCAGCCACATGATCAAAAAATTCAATTTTACAAAATGGCATATTATAACAAAAAATTCAGTTTCCTCTCCGTTCTAGTTCCTAGTCCCCTTTCCATTAACAATTCAAATCTCCTTCCAATTTTTCAGGGCATGAATTTCTTACCAGAGAAATGTTTTGTATTACTCAAATATCTCAAAAGCAATTTGGTCCTGTCCCCTTTCCAGTATGTAAATCTGTTATCTGGAAGAATAAAATGACTTCTCAAAATCAAAGTTTACATAACCACCGAAACAAACATTGAGATCAGCCAGATTTCACTCTCCTCCATGATCAATGACATCCTGTTTTCAATCTGCCAAAAACGAAGCTGGACTTACATTCGCTTGGCCACCTCAGAGGAGAATTTGAACAAAGGGCAGCAGCCCTCTTCCAGAACAGTGAGAGCTCCCTCCAACTGAGAGCGAAAAGCAGCAGATGCTCCGTCTTTCACTGCGTTAGGGAAACCATGCTGTGGATACAAGCAAGCATCACCTAGAGAATTAGGTGAGACCAGCACCACCGATCTAGGTCTCTTCTGCCTCAGATCCCTTGTTCAGTCCAGTTTCTATCCATTAACCTCCCCTCAGTGAGTTACTGACCAATCGAGATGGAAAAACCTAATAAACAGAGTGCCCTTAGAAGGCTTCAGAACACAAGTTCTCCTCCTTTGTACGTTCAACTACTAAGAGGCATTAGTCTCCACCAATTCACTATTTAACTGAACAGTACTTTAAGTGCTTATCCCCAACACAAAGGTGCAGTAGGAAGAAAATGGGTATGAAACAGTTCCCAGCATCACCCTGCTCACCGTATGGGGGGCGGGGGGTTGAAGAACCATATATTATCAGGTTGATCGTGATAGAGTCACAGGACGTGTTCAGGCTGTTTATCTAAGGGACAGAGGCCAAAAACCTGTGCCATTTCTTTACCACAACTACATTTCCTGTGCATCTGGGGCTTTGTGTTGCCTACCCTGATGTGGAAATCCAAACGAGTCCAGCTGACTATCAACCACTTGCATCAGTGGGGATGAAGCACGGAATGGATAATCCAAAGCAGCCTTAATAAAACGTAACCATTGCTTTTCGAATATGTATTATGCTTTTATCAAAGAACGCTTTTAATTCCTTACCACATGTTGCTTACACTAACCATAAAACTGTTATATACTCTGAGAATGTAGTAAATTCTAAAGAAATGCCTGCTCAAGATTCAAATATTGCTGTGGAAAATCTATACGTGGATGACAGAGACTTAACTATAATGGTTTTATTATGTTATAAAAACTTAAAAACATATTTCGTCACATAAATCACTCTATCCTCCTCTGGAAATTCATTCTATTGGGAACAGTCTTTACAGAACGTCTGAAACACCCCAGTTTGAGGACTCCATAAGCTCTCAGCTTCATCACCACCCACTTCGAAGGGAGAGAGGACTGTCACGCAGGTGGCTCTATGGGAGAAATCACACAAGAGCGTATCCATGGTCTCTGTCAGTTTCCAACACAGCTCAAGTATTCAGAGGGAATAAAAAATCATTCTCATATCGTCGTCATCATCACCATCACCACCACCGTGAAACACCAAACACTGTGCTGAACACTTTATACCTATTCACTCTCTTTAATCCTTATGGGAGTCCTATGATGTAGAGACTATTTTAGAGATGATGAAACCGTGGTGCAGAAAGGTTAAGGGCTTGCCAAGGCAACCCCTCCACCACCCTGCTTCTCCTAAATAACCTCCTCCTTTGTCTCATGCATAAAGTAGAGGGACTGACAAGCAAGCATGTGCTTATGGTTTTACTTTAATCCCCCTGGTTCCTTCTCTCCCCAACTTATTTTTGTTTTCGTTGTTGCTTTCCTTCTTGGCATCTTGGCACTTTCCTAGAACATGAAAAAACCAAGA